ACGTGATTCATATATGCCTTGATCTATCGATCAGAGACTGTTAAGAATGCACTCAGTGAACTCCGCAGAGGCTATTTAAACTGAAATAGTCGATATATGAGGGGGGTGTAATAAGTGTATTTGTCCCTTTTTTGCGAAGTATCGCAAAGGACGGGGGTGATTGTCTCACGAAATTGGACCATACCTGAATTCATCGGCTAATCAAAGGCTAGATGTAGAATGAAGAGAGGAATATTTCTAGGTACTTACTAGATCTTAGAACCACTCCCAGAAAAAAATTGGTCGAATCAAATTTGATTAAGTTTCTATTGCATCTGATGTTTATTATAGATCGTACTTTTGGATCCTTCTTTCTCAGTTTCATAATTTCTCACGACTATTATATATCATTCGAAAGCACTTTTCTCCCCTATATTTCTGTATATCTCATATACGAAAATAGCCGTTCTGAGGCCAAATATGTTTAGAAATACTTCTGGCTATGAAAAATGATTTTGACATGCAAAAAAGTCTCAGATATGTCAACATGTCTCATTCGGCCATTACAAGGTAAATGTACTATTCGATAAAGAATTTGTCGGGCTACAATTTGATGTATATAATATAGAGAAAAAAAGTGTCCTAGGGCACCTTGACATTAGAAATGTCTCTGTGAAGTCAGCATTCTGCTCGTAAGTCTCAATTTTCTCCATTAGAACTGAACTTTCATGCAATAAGAATATCATATTCGGAATCAGGATCAAAAGCAGAGTCGACTAATGTGTATTTCCATCTTAGCCGACTACTTTAGTTTTTGTTGAATTTCACGTTGAAAAATGATCGAGATTTTCACCAAAAATGAAAATCAAGTAAAATTTTCAAAATACACATTAGTCACCCTATAAAAAATCTCTATGCATCACTGCTTGGCCTTTTACTACCTTGGTGATAAATATGTATCGGTTGAGTTCTCAGTAGTGATAAATGAAAAGACGAAAATTTTTACAATAGGCGCCAGTACTAATAGGTGTATAAATGTATGAAATAGTAGATTTGATTTTTCACATAGAAAATTTTTATTCTTCTCTCTTGTTATATGTGTCATATGATGAAATCGACGATTGTATGTAGGTCACCATTGAAAGAAGTAGGAAAAATTGAAACTTTAATGATCACAAATAAAATCCAAAACTAAATGAAGAGTAATTATAGTGATTTTGATTTTGAGGGTGAGGGTGAATTCTCTAACGGTCAGTATCTTTCTAGCCGATGAAATTCAGGTATGGTCATTAATGGTAATAACGGTTTATTGCCATAGAGAGAGCATAAATACTGTATTCAAGTATTTTATCGAGCCCTGAAGAGAAATTCAAGGCTAACTCGATTAAATTTTATTAGAGTCATAAAGAAAGATTGACTCGGTCAATAGAACAACTGGTATCATGACTATTAGATGTGGGGTGCATAGCCTCAATAAAATTTAAGGCTTCTCTCTCAGAAATACGAAATTTGTGTAAGAAAAGTCAATATTTAGAATTTAATCTATTCATTATCAACATTTTCAATAAATAGTAGCATTTTTTTATTTATTTTGATCAAGACGAAAAGAATTTAAACGCAAAAGCTTACTAAACATTAATCGATAATGTAGCTTTGAAATCTATGGAGTTAATAAGCATAGTTGTACGTAGTTAAAACAAAGGAGTAATCAGCAGTAGTTCGATTAGCTCCGTTCTGATTACGCACATTTTTCCTAATAAGGACGCCAAGCAAAGACTAAGCAAAAAATTTGAGAATTCAAAAATGCCTTGATGCTGGTGTTAACCAAAATTGAAATTTTTGATCTGCTAAACGAAAATAATAAGCAGTCGAAAGTTCCTGTCCACGTTAATAAGATTATATGAACTTTCGTCCGATTGAATATTAAAATGAACGAGCGATAATCTGCACATGCGAATTTTTTCTTCTTTTGTGCAGTATATTAAGTGGTATGTAAATCACCTCTCAGAATAGAAGACCACCCCATAATAGAAGATCACCCCGAAACAGAAGACCACTTAGGCGAAATTTTTTTGAAAATAGGACATTATTTTACGTTTTTTCGATTTTTTTGGTGGACACAGTAAGCCCACCCTATAATAGAAGCCCACCCGCATTGAAGGCCCAGTCTGGCAAGAAATTTTTTGAAAATTGCAGTGTATTTGCAAATTGCATATACATTCTTTCTTAGTGTGTACGGTGCAATATGTATCAAAAAATATACGTCTGTTTTGATGAAGAATATAAGTAATGGCTGTTCAATTTTTGGATATTCTCTAACGGTCAGTATCTTTCTTATAAATTTGACTGTACATTCGACTTCAGTGAAACTCTAAGAGATTGTTGAACACGTAGTTAGTTGGACTCGGCAAAAATTTCAGCTTTTCATTTTTTTTTAATTGTCCGAGAGATTACTGTCAAGAGCAGAAAAAGTGTGATTTCGTTACGATTATTTTGGCGCATGTCATTTTTATATAGAATTAAAAAAATTATGTGACGATCAAAATTACTTTTCGAATAAAATGCTTGTTAGTTGTATATTCCTTCCCAGTAACAAAATAAACAAAAGTATTGTTACTATGAGTCTTTTAACGGCTTCAATATTAAAAAATTTTTTATTAATGAATAAGACTATAATACAATGTAAATTTACTTTTAGCTGTTTTTTAGGGTTCTGATCAATAATGCTCGAAATAAGTACTTCCTTACAACAAATATATAAAGGAATGAGCAAAAATATGAGTGGTAATAATTTTTATTAATTGTAAGTTTTGTCTTTTACTTTAATAAGTAAGTATTTAGCTTTGTGAGTTGAAAAGCGGCATTTTAACCAAAGTATTCTTGCTCATTCAGTCATCTTCTCATTTATAATGGGATGTCGTCAGGCCAAAGTTGCTCCATCCATTCTGGAGCAGAAAGTAGAAGATAGGAATTTAAATAAAAATACCAACGTTATGCAACCCGGTTATCACATTAAGTCGAATCAAACGAATACCATAAATTCTATTGACAACGTAAATGGAGAAAAAATAACCGATAATAATCTAGTGGATAATCGGCTAGATACAGCAAGCATTCACAGTCGCTTTAGCCTAGAAAAGAATATCATAGATGTAAATTCGAAGCCTTATTCAATCAATAATCTCATAATAGAGGATCGTTCATCCAATAAAAAAAATAATATAATAGATGTAGAAAATCAGTTGAAAAGTTCAAAATCAACAGATCGGATCTCAAAACTATCAAAGCAAAGTGAACAGTTGGATTCAGATAAACTATCAATTAGGTCAAGTCAAAGTAAGACCAACGTGAGTGTTATCAATAATATTACTGACGGGACTAGCATTCACAGTGGAATTGATATTGAGAAAAAGGATTTTGGTATTATATCACATGCAAACGATAATCTAGTACTGGACCAAAATAACAAAATAAATGAGGTAAAGCTGGCATCAAGAAAAAGTAGTGTGCGAAGTCAAAAATCGAGCATATCGGATAATATTATGCAAGATATGATCAATACTACAATCCCGAACATTAGTTTAGCGCCACTGGATACTGATGCATTTAATCCTAAACTTTGTCTTGAACGACAGAATGCAATCGATGATGTCTCACTGAGGAAAACAATAGACTTATGGAAGCCATCATCGATTCAACAGCTGATCGAGTTTATTAATAAGTTATCAACAAACAAGACACAGATAGAAAAGGTGTGGATAATTTTTTATTGGATCTCTCAGAATATTAGTTATGATGATGAATCGTATTTTAGTGGAAACATTCCTAGTCAACGAGCCGATGATGTTTTTCGTAGTAAAAAAGCTGTTTGTGAGGGATATGCGAGTTTATTCAAACGGTTATGTGATGAGACTGGGCTTGCATGTGAAAAAGTGAGCGGATATGCCAAAGGGTATTCGTTCAATGCACGAAAACCTGCATTTGATGATACAAATCATGCATGGAATGTGGTTAAAATAGAGTATCATTATTATTTTATAGAGTCGACATGGGGAACAGGACATATGGCAGAAAATAAAAAGTTTAAACGTGAACTTGAAGCTCATTATTTCCTTTCTCAGCCAGCGCACATGATCTACAATCACTTGCCGGTTGATGAGAAATGGCAGCTGTTAGCTCGACCGATAACAATGACAGAATATCTGAGTATGCCACAAACACATGCGGCATTTTTCGAGTTTGATTTACAAGTGGTTTCACCACACAATTCACACGCCATATCTATCCACAAAGACAAATATTACGCTGAGATACTGATCTGTTGCCCAGATGATATCGAGTTAAGTGGCTCATTAAAGGAATCAACAAATGGACAAAAGGTGAAAGGAGCCGATAAAGTGTATTTTGACCGTCAAAATTCATTGTGGAGGTGCCAGTTTGCTCCAAGGAAAAATGGAATGCACGATATCACAATCTTTGCAAAGAAGAAATCAAGCGAAGGCACTTTTTCTGAAGCCGTTGATTTCATTTTTGATATTAAAGACCTGAAAACATTCATTTCTTTCCCACATACATGGTCTCATTTCTACGAGTATGATTTAGAAATTGTTGCTCCGCTTTATAGTGCATCGGTTGTATGTCCAATTGGCGCTTCTTACTGTGAAATTCTTATTCGATGTCCAGATGACATCGAATTGCATGGCTCATTAAAAGAGTCGACAAATGGACAAAAGGTGAAAGGAGCCGATAAAGTGTATTTTGACCGTCAAAATTCACTGTGGAGGTGCCAGTTTGCTCCAAGAAAAAATGGAATGCACGATATCATAATCTTTGCAAAGAAGAAATCCAGTAAAGGCACTTATGCTGCAGCCGTCGATTTCATTTTTGATGCTAAAGACTTGAAAACATTCATTTCTTTCCCACATACATGGTCTCATTTCTACGAGTATGATTTAGAAATTGTTGCTCCGCTTTATAGTGGATCGGTTGTATGTCCAATTGGAGCTTCTTACTGTGAAATTCTTATTCGATGTCCAGATGATGTGAAGCTATCAGGGCACATAGAACAAGGTGGTCAACGAATTCAACAAGGCGATTTCATTCAATACATCGCCGAAAAAGAGTTGTGGCAATGTTTATTCGCACCGAAAAGTGACGGTTTACACGAGATCACCATATTCGCGAAAAAACTAGATGAAAAAGAAAGTAAGTCACATTGTGTAGTTCAGTTCGACTTACATGTGAAAGATCTAAAGCAATCGATGACTTTTCCTTTGACTTATGATTCTGTTCACAAAGAACTATACACGGTAAAATTTGCGTAGTGAATTTTATGAGAAACAAAAGACTGCGTTTATGAACAATGGTTATGAAACATTTCAACTGCGAAAATGCCGTCTCTATGAACCATTAAATGGTACATTAAAAAAAGGTACAGAAGCGACGATTCACTGTCTTCTTCCTGGAGCAACAGAAGTGAATATGACCGTTGATTCGGAATGGTTATCAGCTCAGGGCTATGAGAATAATGTGTTTAAACGTACAATCAAAGTTGGGTCTCAAGGTGTGTCTCTTTGGGCGAAATACGCTAAAAATTTGAGCTATTCAGGTGTTTTAAAATATACTGTCAAATAAAATAAGAATTTTGTGATATAGTAACTGTTACGTAAATATCTTATTAATATACTGTGAAAAACTAAGAAAGTGGAGGATGTTTATTTGAAAGTTTTATTAAAAAAGAAAAACTTTTTCTTATCTTTAATTTTTCAAATTACTCTCAGTAAAGGAATAGGTCCAATCATTCAAAGAAAACTCGATCATAAAGACAGCCAATCGTCGGAAGATCGCTGAGAAGAAAAGGCTTCGATAACAACGTAGGTATAGTTAGCACCGGATTCAACTACTTTATCTCCGATTCGATTCACAAATACTAGAGTCTATATTGGTCCAGATAAAGCTCAATAAATTCTACAACATCCCAAATTTTACTTCAAGCAAAATACGAGAGAATTCCGAGAGAAAAATTAAAAAACCCCACTTTTACATGAGAAAAATCATTCTTATTGCAAAAAGAATATCCGGACATTTTCTAACTCAATTCGACGAGTTCTATTGAATGAATGACACTAAGTTGTGTCTCATCTGTGTGTTTAGTGACAATGTGGCAATTTCATGTCTTAAGAGAAATTCGCGATGGAAGTTCGATTTAAGTTTATTGTATGGTATTATTCGTGATTTATGTTTTAAATTATTCTTTTCTTTCTGTCTGTTTGAAGACTGAAATACAAGAGAATCTAGTGTGGATCATTGTTGAGTAATGGGACCATAGCGTAACCAAGATTTTTAGACTGTTGGGTCATTTTCCTTAGGGGAAAAAAAATCGTTAGGCCTAGGTGGGCCGAACGTTTCCTGCTTGGGCTGGAAATTGTTTCAACTGTTTCAGTTCCGATATAGCTACCTGGAACATTAGTTGCATGATTTTACAACTTTATCTTCCTATTACATTCTTCAATTTTTTAACTATTATGCATGAAATTAAGAGTACAGCGATCGCAATCATATACAAATGCTTATTAACACAACAAATTTCATCAGGTCCACCAGGACACATTTTAACAGAAAGGATGAGAAAGAAAAAACCGAACTAAAACTTAGCGTTATGTAATCATTATCCATGTCAAAACAAAATGAGTGTAGAGACTTTTTTAATAACTCCTGAAGGAGAGGAACTACAGACTTACATTGCACAGACTTGCTCACGAGCAATCTTAAGCAAAGTTTGTGGAGGACATTCCTTCTACAAAGGTCAACTGTCATACAGAATCGTGGATAATTACAAGGAGTGATCATTTTTTTATCAAAATGATGTACGATACATTTAAAGTTATTAAAAAAGTATCTATACTCATTCTGTTTTGAAATGAATAGCACAACTATTTTAATTCCAATGATTATGTAAAAACAGCTGAAACGTATGAAAATCAACTTTTATTCAAGAATGAATTTTTACCTTTTTAATTAGAAATTAGAGAGTTTTTATCGCTATGTTCTTTGTGAGTTACAGTTCAAATAAAAATAGTTAACCAGCTAAATTTTACTAAAAGTAAAGAAAACAACCATTTTTTTCGATGCATTTGAACTGAAGTAATTATAACCACACGCCCATTTTTTTCGTAGGTAAATTTAACCGCTTTGTTCAAATCACACGACATAGACAACACTTAATCACTGGTGAAATGATCGAATATGTTCAACATACGGTTATGTCGTATTTCATATGAAAAGTCAGAAAAGAACTCTTTGGCTTACTCCTTCTGTAAAAAATAAAAATAATCTGCTTTCAAGTGCCTTTTTTGTAATGTTTATCTATACAGTTAAATTAGACGTTTAACTAGCGATAGTATCCACAAAAAGCTATATTTCTTTTCTTCAAGAGTTATTAAAAAAGTCTCCACACTCATTCTGTTTGGACATGGATAATGACTGCATAACGCTAAGTTTTAGTTTCATTTTTTCGTTCTCATTCTCTCTTTTTATATGTTTCTGCAAAAAACGAATGTTAGCAGAAGATTTAATTTATACGAACTGAGGAGCATCAGATGTTGGTTGAGAGTCTAGCAGGAAACCTTCTCGAAATATCAAACCACTTCTCTTACAAAACAAAATTCAAAATATCTTTTAAGTTGGTATCTAGAAGGAGAAATGTGTTCCATAGGGCAGAAAAAGAGATTTGATAGTGTATAAACTTATTCAGAACGGAGAGTTTTCACAAAAGTCATGAGAAAGATAATGATCTAGCGACCAACAAAAAAAAAGTGCTTCTTTTCGTAATTCTTTGTCGATTTTTTGGGACAGTTTTATCTTGCCTTAAATACATTGCAAAAGAATTGTAATAATTAATTATCCATTCAAAACAAAATTGAGATTGTAATGTTCTGAATGCACTTGGACCACACTTAGGTTACATTAGTGATTTAAACTTCCGCATTTATTCAAATTACTAATGTAGTTCAAGTGCATTTAAAATATTAAAACCTCAATTTTTTAATTATTAATTACAATTATTTTGCACTGTATTTAAGGCAAGGTAAAACTGTCCTAAAAAATCGGCGGAATCCGTAGCACCGGCATCCCTTGGCCGTTAGATCACAAGGGAAACAGAAATTGACTGCAGTGCCGTCTGAACAGAACACAGCGACTTTTGTCAGATGACGTTAACTGGCACTGTTGCAGTTCTTTATTCTATTCTATAGTTTTTTAGTCGTGTGTAAAAAGAACGAAAAAAAAAGTCTGCGCGTGTGTGTATGTGCAACGATAGAGATGAGGAGTAAGAAATGTGCTGATACATAAAAATATCGTAAATAAGAAAGAGTATGAATAGAACACGTTAAAAGAAGAAACAAGCATATTTAATGCAAGTCGAATATGTAACTAGAAACAAACGTGCTTTTTCGCTTCTTGGTATTAGACCAACCACAAAAGATTCTTGTGCCTTTTTTTCTTATCATAGTGATGATGACACGTTTGTTGTACAGCGCATGAATTCAGTATCGTGAGACCTGTTTTGTTTTTTTATTTAGACTATGTTTTGATATGTTTCAGTTTCAGACAGGTATTCGTGGACGAATTACTTCTATTCTAAAACGTTCTTCTTATTGCTTACTCGCCAATATGACATCGTTATGTACTCCACGACTCGACAATGCTGGAGCCTTTGATCATGTGAATGGCGCAGAATTACGTGGTCTCGTAGCAGGTTTGATTCAAAAAGATGCTGATTCTCATCATGTCTTTTTTAATAGTCAGGGCTTCCACAATCATCTCGTTCATTTGTTGCTGGCTGATTACAGTCTTGGTGCGAGTGAAAATCGACTCAAGGAAATCTATGAAATCGAAAGTCCCAGTCAACGGCCAAAATTGCCAGAAAAAAGTGACTTCGTCTGGAGCAGCGATCATTGCCTCGGTCATGAAGAGTATTACACATCCTACTTGAACTTTTTTCTCGAACAAATCAAGAGCAAAGGTGTACGAGCTTGTATCGAAGAATACATTTTTCGAGACGATGCTACCAATATGTATGCACGATTTTTCAGTGGCGTTTACCATCCGTTCATTCACATAGGCTATGGAGTAGAATTTGGAATACCAATGCTCGTTGCCGAGGGCCTTGCACAAACAGCGGTTCACGGTACTACGCTTGTTCCTCTTTACTCTGTGACGTCTCCGATAGACAAGAAAACGGCAAGTGGATCTTCCACGACTGCTACGAATATTGCACTATCAACTCGTGACGACCACCGGTTCGATGATATTGTCAAGTGGGAAGACAGTCCAAAGATCAAAGCTCTTCTTCAACGCAAACCTGATTTGGTACGAGAACATGTAGACAAATGGATCGTGTCGGAAACGCTCGACAGACCTACCGGATTGAGAGCTCGTGCGACAGAACTTCAAGCACTTGCAGCGGCACTTTATGCGGGACCTCAACGACCAGGCAAACAAATCACTATCGATTTCTTTCTCATGCATGCCTTCACCAGCTCACTCTTCGTACACAGCTATATCGAGTTCCTCAATCCACGTTATGGAGCGGCATTGTTACGTGGCAAGTTTGCAGTCGATCTCGCCTACTATATTTCGCGCAATCGACCATTGTTGAATCTCGAACAGTTTAAATCATATCCATTAAAATCGTGGAGTGAAATCATCTCGAAAGCCATTTCTCACGGTGATTCACACGTGCCAAAGTCTATTCGAGCTGTGAAACATGCGGCAGCATATGACACTACAATCCCCTCTGAAATATATCAAGCTATAGCCACAATAACGGTTGATCCGGATAGAAAGTGGAGTTCGGATGGTATTGGGTTTGATGAGGAATGGCAAGATGTCCCGGACAAAATATAGATAATATAGATAGATACGTAATTTTGTATATTCTTCTGTAACACTAAATTTCAGTACTGACGATTTCTTTTTACAAGCTCTGTTAATGTGGTGAAAGACGAAAAGATGTACAAAAATAAAAATGAGAAAGGAGGAATGGCTCAGTCTTATTCCAGGAGTTGGAGACAGCAGTGCACATTAAAAAGTGAGATTTTTAGAAAACTACTGAAACCACATACGTAGAGACATCGTGATTGTCTCAAAAAATGCGAAAAGAGTTTTGCATAGTCTCTGAAAATACTAAGTGGTTATGATTTATAGTTTACGGATAGTAAGACTCTTACTAAAAAATTATATTTTCATCGAAATGTTCATTTATTCTATGTTCGAAAGAAGCAGTGCTCACTGCGAGTTTATCCTATATTCCACCAACTTCCCAGATTAAAAAGTTAACAAATTTGAAAATACCCCTCTCCAGTTTTCCCGGCAGTTTGAAGTACACAAGTTGTGCTCTATGTCGAACTGTTTTTTAGAAAAGGGTACAGTCTACTTTTTGAGATACAGAGCTGTCAATACCACTGTCAATGTACCTTTTGTGTGCATATAGAAATA